ATTAGGCAAAATATTTTTAATTATTTGGAGATTAATTAAAACAATGGTTAAAATTTCTTCTAAAAAAGATGGAAAAATTGAAAATAAGGACCTTGAAACACTTATTGATCGGTCCCATAAATTAAAGAAAATAAATAGAATAAAAAGGAATAGAAGATTGAATCGACTTGGACTATTAAATATAATTATTTTTATTATTTTTATGGAAATTGTAAAAGCCGATATTGAGGTTATTTCAATACAGGCGAAATCAGAAGATTGCTATAGAAATAAAAATTTAACCACCTGTAAAATTACCACTACTAATACATTAACTTTATTGCCTGATGGGCAGGTAATTTCGTTAACTTTAAAAAATGATAAAGGAATGATAATGGGTGAGATGGAATTTATTATGAACAGTCTTTCAATTAAATGTAACCAAAAATCTCAAAAGCAATTGAGATCTTATGAGCTTAAAGTAGGATCTGTAAAAAGATGTCCAGCTCAAGGGACCTGTAAAGCTGGCAGATGCCAACATATCAGATCGAAAGAAAATGTTGAAGAATTAGATGAATGGGTTAAAAAACCAGGAAATTCATATTGTGTCGAAGGTCACGCATTATGGGGATATCAATGTGGATTACCTGGAGCAGCCTGTTATTTCTATAAAGTATATGCCGAACCAGTTTCTAACGAAGTATTTGAATTGGTTTCGTGCCCTACATGGGATTACGTAATTGATATAGAAATGTCAATGAGATTTAAGGGAAATATATCAAAATATATTTTTTCATTAAGTCCTGGAGCGACAATAAAATGGGATAAAATTAAAATATCTTTATTAGATATTACTCCACCTATGGCCCCAATTTTGAGCAGTCAATTTATAATTGGTAACAATGGAGTAGCAATGGTAGATAATTTTAAATCAGATTTAGAGTGTTCTGATGCCAAAAATTTTTCAAAATGTGAATTAGATATAAATTCTTGTAAAGAATGTTGGTTAGATAAAGAAGAAGAACAAATAAAATGTGCTTGTATTGATTTAATTATTGAGGAAATATTTAAAGACAAACAAAAATCTTTGCCTTTAGATACAAAAAGGATTAAATTAAGGAATAATGGAAGAAATATATATTCAGAAACAAGTTATTTACCTATAGAAATTATGGTTAGATTTGAGAATTATTCAATAGCTTCAAATATAGATATTTCTATTTGTAAAATTGAACCTATTATATTATCGGGTTGTTATAATTGCTTTGGAGCAATTTTTAAATATAAATGTTTTTCGGACTATGGAAGTCCTCTAGCGGAGATTAAATGTAAAAATGGTAACATTTTTACAAGTAAATGCTCAGTAAATGGAACTGAACAAGTTTCAGTTCTATCTTTTGATAGAACAGAAGTAAGAGAGTATTGTGAAATTTTTTGCCCTGGAGGCAAAACAAACTTTACAATACAGGGAACTCTCGAATATATTCTCCCAGAAAAGGCTAAAATTATAGTTAAAAATGGAACCCCAAGTTTATACACAATGGAAAGTGCGTGGGGAGGTATTTTTGACAATTCATGGACGAATTTTAAACTTTTGGACATACAAGGATTATTTTGGGAAATGATGAATATAAAAATAATTTCAATTGGAATTTTAGTCATCATTATCATTTATTTCATATTAAAAATTTTTTTAAAAGTCAACCCAATGTTAAAAATGTATAGATTAATCATTACCAGCTGTTTATTGTTGATAACAAATTTGGGGGCGGGAGGTTTTGGAGTGACACCTCCAAGTTTTGAAAATTTTGTTGAGATGTCAAGGGGGCATTATTTTTGTATAAAAAGCTTTAAAATTTTTAAATTTTATTCACTTTCAAAAAATCCTTTAAATTTAAAAATATTCATGGCCCCAATTCCCTTTACTCAATTCGCCGCTAATATTTTAAATTGTGATTTAGAAGATGTCTATGGAAGACTATATTTCAGCCGATTGGATCGGTCTACAGTTGCTAATGAAGCAAGAAAGGTAGAAAATAATAATGGAAATATTTATTGTTCTACTAACGAATTTTCTTGCCCAAGGGGGGGTGTACTTGAATTTTATCCTTTGGAAGGATTAGAAATAGAGGAGTACATCGAAGAAGATATCCCGGATATGGATAGATTAAATATAAATATTGGAAATAATAATAATATTCAGAATAATTATGGTAGTCAAACATCTGCACGAGCCACTATGGAAGTTGAAGTTAGTAATGGAAGTTTAAAAAATATAAAAATGGATTTTATTCAGGAAAAATTAGTTATGAGTATGGAAGCCAACTCGGACCTTCATTGTTCAAGCAGCGGATCTGAGGTGTCCACTGTAGAAGTGAAGGTTAAGGCAAAACTGTTTCGTGGCCCGTTGTTGGGAATTCTTTTTTTGTGTTTGGTGATTGGGACATGGACTCCCGCTATGGCAGCACCAAACAGCAACACCCCAACAACACCTATGGGAGACTCCAACCTGGATACGGAGGACCCAGAAGCATTTGAGGAGTTGTGTGATGCGTTTTTGGGCACTCACAATTCTTCTGTGCCTCAAGGGGAGGCACAGGAGAATGCAACCAACACATCACAAATGTACTCAATTTTCGATCAATTAATGGACAATTGGGCAACACGTAACCAACATTTACCAACAACATCAACAATAACCAGACCAATTCAATTTGTGCCTCAAACAACAATGGCAACACAACAAAATCCAACCACCAACATTCAACAACAGCAACGACAAAATTTTGGTGGTCCGATTCGTGCGCGAAGGCAACCCAGACAAAATTCAAATCAGGGTTGCTTTATTTGCCACGCTTCAGACCACTTTGCCAAATATTGTCCGGTAAAGCAACCTTGCAGCAGCAACAGCTTAGTTCAACGGACAACAAGTGCCACCAGCAACACACACAACCAGGACACACAAACAGCAATGCGCAGCGTTGCAACTCAATTAACAAGAATGAGCCAACAGTGGACACACGTCCCAACTATTTCAGCATTTTTACTTCAAATGGCACAATTCATTCTTCTGGCATTGGACGCCCCGAGACAACACTAATTGGTGGCCGGGAGTGTTTCCAACAGAAAGAATATGTTTGGAAAGAAATTAAAGGAATTTTTTGGGCGGAGAATAAAATAAATAAAATAATATATTTGTGATTAATGTTTTTTTACCCACGCAAAATTTCCCTTTAAAAACAGCTGATTTTTAATATTTTCTTCAGTCGCTTTTGAACATTCGAAATTTGGAAATAAATATTTTACTGTGGAAATAAATTTGAGAGTTAAAATAAGGGGCTTTAGAGAAATTACCCTAGAAAATATATAGGAAGGAAAACCTTATAAAATTTTAATATTTTGGTTTTCATATATTGTTTTTGGCCAAGCAACAACAATAGATAAACATGCTGGCAATGAACCGATTGATGGAACTTTGGGATTAGCATTTCAGTCAATTGCTATTAATGGAGTAGAGCCTCCTTTAACTGCTGCTATTAGATTGGGTGATTAAATAAAATTAAAAATATTTTCTAAAAAATATTTTTGGCTAAAATATGTAGGTTTATTAGCTAATGCAATATTTACTGTTTATTTGGCAACTTTGGGGAGTAGTCAAAAGAAATTAATTAAAGGTATTTTAACTGTTTATTTTTTTAAATTAATTATTTAAATAAATTCTAAATTTTTTGGGTGGAGGACAATTTACCTATGGAGGATTAGACAACAAAAATTGCGATAACGTAATTGGATGGGCACCACTTATAAATCGCTCTTATTTCATTTTTGAACTTGAAGTAGTTAATTATATAATTGAAGTAAAATTTAAAATTAAGGGTGTTAGTTATGGCAATAGTTATCAAAGCAAAATAAGGCAAAAAGGTTGACAAAAATTACTTTATTTGCCCATCAAATTAAAAATATTTATTTTATTATTAATTTAAATTAAATATAATTAAATTTAAACAAATTTAGTTTTTCTTTAAGCTGTATCAGATACAGGTAGTTCACTTATTTATGGAAGTAGTTCAATAATTCTTTCAATTGGACAACAAATTGGGGCAGAATATAACAAAACAGCAAATATATTATTTATTCCTTGTAATAAAACTTACAATCCAATTACTTTTAAAATAAATGGAAATAAATATAATTTAACTAAAGTGTGGAAATAATTTTTAGTAAATAATTTGAATTTAATTAAGGAAGTATTAACAATCGATGTTTATGATCCCTTACATTTAAAATGCTTATTTGGAATGGTTCCACAAAATTTCCCAAGTGGATGTGAGTATTTTTAGTATTTAAAAACAAATTTTTAAATTAAAAAAGCTCTCGATTGGATTCTTGGCGCGCCTTTTATTCGTCAATATTGTAAGTTTATTCATACATAATAATTTTAATAATTATTATAATAAAATTTAAATAAAAATTATTAACAAGCCAAATTATATATAAATTCTATAACAATATAAATCAGATTTTTATTAACTCGAAAACCCCCACCAGCGTCCCAAAAAATTATTTTAGAAAAATTTTTAAATAAATTAAAAATTTCAGGTAATATCTATGATATTGGTAAAAGTCGAATGGGGTTTGCTAATGTACTGCCAGAAAATAAGAAAAAATAAATTTTAATTTTTGAGTTTTTATATATTTACATATTTAAAAAAAACCAAAATTAATGATATATTAATGTAAAAATTGTTAATATTTATTTATTTTCCTTTTAAAATTTATTTATAATTAAATCCATTATTATTTTCTATTTTAGACATAGGTATTTGCTGAAGTGCGGAAACAGCTCTTTGACGTTCTTTTTTAGACATAAATAATAATTGGACCTAAAAATTAAAATTAATTTTAAAAAAATATAAATTATTAACAAACCTCATCCAAGTTGAGACCTTTAGTTTCTGGAACAACTTTATAAAAAAGTAGAAAAGCAATAGCCGTTAATCCAGCATAAATAAAGAATGCTCCTAAAAAGAGTGGAAATTGATGAAATTTAAAAAAATAATTTTTGTAAAATAAATTGGCAAATATAAACAAAATGTCTTTTTCTTACCATATTTTGTCGCTTCTTGTGTTAATGTTAAAAATGTTAGTGAAACAATTAAATTAAATTCCCAATTACAAAAAGTAGTTAAAGAAACACAAGTACTTCTAGCTAAATTTAAAAAATAATTATTAGAAAAAATTTAATATATAATTTACCCCAAAGTGGATAAAATTCAGCATTTAAAACCCAAGGAAGAGGAGCATAACCAATAGCAAAAGAACACAAAAATAATATCATTAAAAGAATTGGCAAAATTGTATATTTTGTGTCTGTGTGACAGTTTTCATTCCTAAAATTTTAAAAATTATTTTTTTATTAAGAAATTAATTTATTACCACTCATATTCAATATTTTCAACAAAATGTAATCCATTAGTGCTATTTTTTGAGGAACAAGGCCCCGTTATAGAACGAATATCTGCATTAAAATGATCCTAAAATTAATTAAAATATTTAAATTATGAATAAATTTTTCATTAGAAAATATTAACAATTTAACTTACTCAATCCTAATACAAAATATTAATTTAATAAAAATATTTAAAGGTACATCATTTTTACCTTAGGAAGACAAAATCCCCCTCCATTATTTCCCTTTTTCTCACAAAATCCACATAATTCATCTGTTGTGCAAAAATCACAATTACTTTGAATAAATTTTCAAAATATATCAAATTAATAAATAAAACCTATGTGAAATACAACGATTAAATGAATCTACTTTTTGATCAAACAAATTAATATTTCCATTAATTGAAGGGGCAGAATTTTTATTTATTAATAGAAAAGCTTTAATAAAATTCTTTAATTAATTTAGAAATCTTTTAATTACCTCCACCCATTAAAATGAGTGAACAAAAAACAGCAAAAATGCTTAATAAAAGAAGAAAACGACGACCCAGCCTTTCAATTAAATAAATTGGAATAAATGTTGCGAAAAAATTGACACCAGAAAAAGAAAATTATTTTTAAAAATTATTATTGTTAGACCCACTAGCTGTTCCCACAGATATCCAAATAGTATCGTGGTAGTCTTTAACGCCCGCAGAACGGATTATTGCTCCTGTGTAATACCTTTAAGTAAAAAATTGTTAACAATTTAATTTTTAAATTAAAAAATGTTTAGTATTAATTATGTTCATGTTGCAGAAAAATTCAATGGATAGGAGCTGGAATAGAACCATCATGGAAAGGGTCCAAACCGAAGCACAACCGACTGTGCCACCATTCAACCCGATGATGCGTTATTTATTTTCAGTTACACAAAAGTATTATTAAATTTTTGTGACAAAATAATTTTAATTTTTAATTTGATATAGTAATCAGTTATATTTTCCTTTCCAAATAATTAAATATTTAGAGGTTCTAGTTCTTGGCAATTCCAGAATTTATCTTTCACATTTTCCTAGAAACGGTTCTGGAACTGGAACATAAATAATTTAATTAAGGATCTTCTTAAATCAAGAAATAGACATCTCATTTTATATATTTTGTTTTTCAAATTATTTCATTACCTACATAATTGTATTAATTCCAGATGCTTGCTGAAATGCTTGTAATGCTGCTCCGATAAATAAAGATTTTCTAACTGGGGGATCAGACAAAATACGCATTAATAAATTTCCACCACATAAAATTTAAAAAATATAAAGCTAGTGCTAAAATATTTTTAATTACCATAAGTTTGTTGATCCTGTAATTGTTGTTCATGAGCAAAATGGATTTCATCCAATTCTTTAAAAAAATTAAATTTATTTATTTTTTTAAACAATTTTTGAAAAACCATATTTAATCCAATTTTGATCTCCATTATAAATTTTTGAAAGAACTTTTTCTGATTCACTTTTAAAATTATTTTGGTAAAGCCAACGTGGACTTTCAGGTAAGAAAAAGAAACCAATAAATTGCAAAATTGAGGGAATTGCGGCAAAACCAAACATTAATCTTTTTTTGAAATTAAAATAAATTAATAATTAATTTAGCATTAATTTTGTATTCAAAATATATTTAATTAGGTATATTTGGATTAATTAAATTAAATTATTAGTATGTGTATTTTTATTACCTCCATCCCCAATTCTCTGGATCGATATAAGAAAATCCAACCGCAAAAAGGTTGGCAGAAAGTAATCCAAAAGTAATCATTAACTTTTAAATTAAGTATACATTTAATAAATAAAAAATAAGTAAAGAATTTAGCATTGCAAACTCAGAGCCCAACTATTTTTAAGAAAAACCTCGATCTAAATTCTGACATGATTTATCCCAATACCGACACCTGTCCTCAAGTTAAAGGTTGAGTTAAATCTCTAGCAAAATTGGAGAAAAAATCCTCAAGTACGGATATTCCTCCTCAAGTCCAAATGTCTGTCCCGACATTTGGACAGACATTTTTATTCAAGCTTTTAAAGTTAAAAATATTTTACTTGAAATCCAGTAACTAGTTTTCCTCTAATATGTGCCGGTGAGCATTCACCCACATATATTGGTACAATCATTGAAGCAAATCCTTTTTTAAAAATAAATAAAAACCTCGCTTTTATTTATATTTACGTAAAAGGGAGGTTACATAAAATTAAGGTTATAATGTAATAAAAAAATCTTAATAAATAAATTTATAAAATTAAATTAAACTTACCAATAGCAATCCCCAATAATATTCTTCCAATTAACAAAATCCATTTACTTATTCCAATTGCACAAACAAAAGCCCCAACAGCAAAAATAATTGTCGACAAAATAATCATCTAAATTTAAATTATTTTATAAAAATTAATTAATTATACCTTTCTTCTCCCATATAAATCAGATGCCTTTCCAGCAAAAAGGGCACCAACACCAGCCATTCCGGGTGTGATAGAAACTTCAAATTAATTTAAAAGAATAGATTATTTTAAATATTTTGTGTTAGTTAGGTGGAAATTTAATAATAATAATTTTAATAATTAATAATTTATTTTTGTTTTTGTTTACAAAAAAATTAATTACCAATAACTTCTTTCCACAAATTCCCCATAGGTTTAAGATCATTATTTTGTGGTACATAAAGCTGTTAATAATTAAAATTAGAAGATTTTAAGAATTAATTAATTAAAAACCATTGCTGCAGAAACAATTCCTGTATCATAACCAAAAAGAAATCCACCAATAACAGCCATTCCGGAAAGCTTTAAATTAAAACATTTCAATTTTTTTATAAATTTAGTAATAAAATAACTAAAAATATTTAAAAAAAAATTACCAAATAAATAAAATTTCCAAGTTTTGGTTCCTTTTTTGGATGAGAAATAACTTCATTATTAATGCTGTTTTGAAATGTAGTAATCGCTACCATTTTTTTAAATTAATTTAATTAATTCTTTTTTAATTAGGATTATTTAAAGATTTCGTCTTCAACAAATAGTGAAATTAAATTATTTTATTTTACTTAAAAATAAAAATTTTAAATTAAAAATTTATTTAATTTATAATAATGGAAAAACAATTTTAAACGAAATAAAAAACAAAATCAAAAGGATTAAAAATTCTCTCTTTCTAAAACGGGAAATGATTTAAAAAATAATAAAAGATTTAAAATTATTTTTTCAGATATTTTTGTAAATTAAAACAAAAATTTGTGAATTAGTGATAAAATCTTTTTTTAGTTTTAAGTATGTATATAAAGGATAAAAATAAATAATAAAATTGGGATATATTTTATTTTATTAAATTTTTTTTTGAATTATTTAATTTGACTTTAGAAAAAAAAATTTTTATTAAAAATATTAAATAAAAAAAAAGAATTTTCTTTCTCTAAATTTTTTAGAAATTATTTTTTTAAAAAATAAAAATTACTAATATTTTTTTGAAATGTTTGAAGATCGATATAAAAATAAATATTTAAATTGTTTTAAATTATAGGGACAATACTTTTAAGTTTAAAAAAAGAGAAATTGATAAATATATAAAGGTTGCTCGTGTAATTCAAACTTTTATTGTTTAGCGAGTAAAAATAATGGAGAATTAAAAAATATGAAAGAGGAAGAAGAACGGTGTTTGAAATAAAAAGTTTTTAAAGTGGAAAGAAGGGAATGATTTATTATTTTTATATTTTAATTAAATTATTAATTATTGTCTGTCATATGTTTTTAAATTTAAAAAATTAAAAATTAAAAAATCATATTTATTCTCTTTAATTTAAGAAATTATAATAAAGTTGGATTTTTTAAAATAAAAAATTGTAAGGCGGAAATGGAATTGAGAAATATTAAACTAACATTCCAAGGATCAGTCTATTAGTCAACTCAATCCCTCAAGTGATGTCGCCCGTTTAATCGCTCTTAAGGAGTGAGCGGTGAATATTGTCCGGCCGGACTAACAACATTAATTAATTAGTATTCTCCTCATATTCTATTATCCTGGGCTCTACACTGGGTATGGATTCAACAAACTCCTTCTATATTTATGATTTGGAACTTTTAATAAAAATACCCAAATCAGATTTAAATATTTTGAAATTAATTCAAATTTATTTAAAAAAAAGATTTAATTAAAAAATAAATTTATCAAAAAATATTGATAAAAATTAAATTCAACAAAAAAATTTAGAGCAATTTTTGTTAAATTTTAATGTAATTTTGAGTTAAAAATTTATTTTGTTTACATAAATGTTGAATAAAATAATTGAATAAAAATATTTTTATTGTGTGGGTTTAATGTTTACGAAAATAATTTTTTGATGACATAGAGAAATTTAACGAAATGATTTTAAATTGAATATATTGCTAAAGTTGGATCACACTTGTGGAGCTAAAAAATATCGTTTAGTAATTTAATATGGTAAATATTATATTAAATAAAGGAAGTTTTATTTAAGTCTTAAATTTTGTTTTATAATTATTTCGATTTACACGTGTCATCTAAAACACGAAAACATTTTCTTCAAATATATAAAAATAAAATATTAAAAATATATTACAATTGGAGATGTATTTTAAAAAATTTGTTTGTGTATATGATAAACTATACTTTTTATAAAGAATACACTCAATAAATACCAAATGCACGTCGATTCTTGGTTCAATTTTTTCTCTAATAATTCCCCCCCCCCCCATTATTATCTAACTTGTATTATGAATAAATTAAAAAATAAATTCTTGATAATATTTCGTAATTGAAGTTTTCTGAAAAAAATGTTATTACAAATATTTATGTACATTTTTAACAAATAAATTAATATGTTAATATTATTTTATCGAAAATGTGACTTTTAGGGAAATCCTCAAAATTTAATAGGAATAAATAAAAATTTGTTTATTTTAGTTATTTCTGCAATAGTGAAAAAAAAAGAATTTTTCTATCGAATTAGAATAGTTGCACGTGTAAAATAAATTTTTCTAAATAATAATTTGTTTTAAAAATAAAAAAAACTTTTATCTGGGGGAACCTCTAAAATTAATTGTTAAATATTTTATTTAATGTCATAAAATGTACTATAAGCCTTCTTTCAAGTTTTCCACAATAAGTTTAGAATTTCTATAATACTCCAAAAAAAAAGGCCTCTTGTGCTTCTCAAAATTCAAAAATTTTCTTTGTAATCCTAAAAATAATAAATTTTCAAGGTGTTAGAAAATTTACGACTTCAAAATTTTCATCTGAGGGCTCTTAAATTTATTATAGACTAAACATTTTTTACAATAAAAATTCAAATTATATATTTATTTTTAACCAATTCTTTTTTCCTTTTTCTTATTTTTACCGATATAATTAAATAACTAAAAATTTAAAATTTTGTAGAAATTCAATACAAACAATTAAATATTTATTTATTTTCAATTGTTTGTTTCAATACTATCGAATAAAAATAATTTTAATATCGCGGCTATTTCTTATTGTTGGAATTAACAAACAAAAATATATGTGGACAATGAAGGTTATTCATAAGAAAAAAAATTAAATGTCGTTACATGGTCAATTCACAGCCCGAAGAGATGCCAATAAATTGAATATAACAAAATTAATAATGTCTTTTGAGGAATAATAAAAAATATTGAATTATTTTCTTACTAAATTTAGTCTGATTTGAGAAAAACTGAGAGTCTAATAGAGTTAACAATTATTGAAGCCTCAGGAAATTTGCATATTTGAACCATGATTATTTTTACCTTTTTAAGTTCCTCGGACATATTTAGCACATCTCACAATTAACAAAGTGAAACAGCCAAAATATGATGAATCGAGACATCTTATTTTTGATTCCAGTCACTATTTTCACTATTCAGATTCCTTCTTAGTGAAAAATATTTAACTTACCTATTCCAAATTTTTTTAAACAAACAAAAATTATTTTAAAAAGAATTATCTTTTCTGCGATTATTTGTTAGTTAATTAAATCCTTCTTTATTATTCTCCAATTCACATTTTCTTTCATTTTTTGGCTTCAAAAAAGTCCATAAATTCATCGCATTAGCTTTCCATTTTTCTTTTTTTGTTTCATCGGTAAATTTTGAGGCGATTAATTCTATGGCCAAGGTAAAGGTTATTTTTTGTAAATTCTTTTATTATTATGAATAAACCTACAAATGATTCATATTATACTACAATAAATATACATTTGTGTTGTAAATAAATAGGAAGGAGCCCTTTTTGATTTTTTTTAGTTCCTCATAATTTTCTTAATATTTTTTTCAATTGTTTAACTTTCCCTTTCATTTTTCTTTTGTCAATATCTCCGGGGAAATTTATTTTTAGAAATCTTTATCCTCATCAAAAAAACATGCCCAACTTCCACCACACACTTAGTGAATATTGTGCCCATCAAATATTTACTTAATATAAAATTTATATTTGCTTTTATTCTTCCACTTGACTTTGACTTCCTTGTCTTTATATAATTTTTGCGCCTCATCATTCAATGGTCAGTTTATGCGCAAGGAAGGAATTTTTTGTTTTGTTATTTTGTGGCCTGTGAAGCGGTCATTAAAACATTAAATTCTTTTGATTGAATAAACGGAACCGGAACTTTATTTTTATTTTTAATATAATATTTAAACAAAGAAGTATTTAGTTGTCTAGTAGACATTTTCCAGAATTTCCTCCATTTATTTTAATTTCTTGATTATTTATGAAGAATAATTTGGAGAATTAATTAATCTTTTTGTAAGCCGATTTATTTAATTGTCCAATTTATATAATAAATCTGTTATAAAAAATTATTTTGCTGATGTTTTCGCGTTTAGAATTGTCTTACTAAATTAAGACCATTCTGACTTAATTTTTTTATTTTGACTAAAATATTAACTAAAACATTTACCCTATTTTTGACTTCTTAGAAATTAGGGTGTAAATTTTGAAAAAATATTTATTTATACTATTTCACAGTCCTTTACAATTTTATCTTCAATTCACATCTTTAACATTTGGCCCAAAGAACCTTTAGTGTAGCATCTTTATATATCTTAAATATTGAAAGGAAATAGATTGCTCATCGGAATTTATAATGTTTTTGGAAGAATATTTTGTTTTAAATTTTTTTAATTTTAATTTTATATAAAAAATATATTTAAATATTATAATAAATCAGTCAAATCTCATTTGGACAAGACCTCTCAAAGAGAAAAATTTGAAGTTATTCTGAGATTTAATTAATTTTTATAATTTCATATGCTAATTATTAAAAATTATCCTAACAGAGTAAATCTGCAGACAGTCATTGTCTGTAACCATTTTTCAAACAAAGAATAAAAAATACAAAAATAAAGTTTAAATTTCTTTAAAAAATGCCCAGGTGTAAGTTTAGAATATGTAGCTTTTCTTTAAAAAATATGTAAAATAGACGGCGTGAACAAAGCATTGCAACACATTTTATTTACATTTAGGTGTGAATAAAATTAAAAATAATTACATTTTTTCTAAATTCTTTTTTCATCTTCTCCAATCATTTTTAAGTTTAAATATTTCTTTAGTTTATTTTTTCCAACATAAATTTATGAATCAATAGGTAATTTTATTTTTTAATTAAAAATGAGAGAATATTTTATTAATTATCTTTATCTAATCCCTAAATTAGAAGTTAAGTAATTTTTAATAAAAGGCTTGGTAATGGACACGGATATGGTGAAAAAAATATAAATGCTTGTGGATCTCTGTCTATGTATATACACTATAAGGATCCGAATACCAAGATCCATGTCCATTACCAAGTCTGGTTTATGATACACATTTTTACCGCTTACAATTAGTTTATAACCTCTTAATATATTCAATTATCCTTTATTTAAATTTATTTTTTCATTTTCTTTTAATTATTTAAAAATCCCTTTTTTAATTATAGAAATTTAGTTATTCTCATTAATG